AAATCAGCAAAAGACTGAAGGTCTTTTTTAGGTAAGTTGTGCCCAAAGCTATAATGCATATGAGACCTGGGTCTTCTCAAACAAACAAACAAACAAACCTCACTGTCTTCAAGTTGATTCTGATTTAGGACGCCCCTACAGGGCAGGGCAGTACTGCCCCTGTGGGTTTCCGAGACTACAACTCTGCATGGGAGTGGAAAGCCACCTCTTTCTTCCTTGGGACTTTGCAATCCAGCTGGGGAGAGAAGCTAGTCTTCTGCAAAATTATATAAGATTTAAACATCAACCCTTAGGTTAGGAAGCTACTACAGAAGGCAGTGTGGCTTAGGCGTGTACAAAAGATAGAGATGACTGAGCAGGACCTTCAGGGATGATGAGAGGCATTTACCTCCACCAGGAAGGAGCTTTTCAGGCCAAAGGAAGCGGGAGAAAAGCTGGAGAACACAGCAAGGTCCGAAACCATCAGCGCTGCTTTGCCAGGCTGGGTTGCAGCGAACGTGGGCCTCATCTGGAAGGTTTCCACATCGGCGCGGGACTCTCCACGTATGTAACACAGCCGTGGAGCTGTCAGAGAGCATTTAACTAGCAACTCCTTTCATGTTGGCCAAAGACACTGAGGCTTGTATCTGTGGGGCCTGCCATGCCTGGAGGTTCTCCATGGATCCCAGATGGGCCTCATTATCCTACCCTTATATCCAACCTTTATTGGTGATGAATGTGAGGAGAGAGCCTTGACCCCTGGTGCCCCAGCCAGCCAGGGACCCGAGTTGGGGCTTCTCTCCCTGGATTGAGATTCTCAAGGCACGGTGTCACCTCGGTGCGTGTCAGCCGCCCCACCAGGAATTGGACCCTTACCCACGTGGATGACCCTTGGTGGGTAGGTGAGCTGCACCAACATCCTCATGAGTGGATGCGGTGGGGGAAGGAGCCAGAGGAAACACACGGGCTCAGAATTGTGAAGGCGGTCATGGATTCGTGGTGCTTCGAAGTGCCTTTCTCTCTCAACTTGTGTCCGCTTGAAATCCGCAATAAAAAGTCACTCCACGGGCCGGCGTGGACTCCTTCCATTCTCCCTCATCTCCAGTTTGCTTGGCGAGTACAAGAGCTTTTTACCTGCCTCCTTTCACCTTGAATCACAGGATACAGGGACTGCGTCTGAGACGGAAGGGCGAGGGATTTTCCCAGGATGCTAAAAAATCCGTTTCTGTTTTCTGAAAACGTTTGGGTATGCCTCCTTTTCAGATGCCTACTGGCCGGGTGTTTGGGCCAAAGAGTGCCAAGTACTTTGCAGGGGTCCCTTAAAAGAGAGGTGCTGCCCTCTGATCCTCAGAAGGGCTCATGGTGGCAGCGATGAGGCTGTCCTGCGCATCCAGCAGCCCCCTCGGCAGCACCCACCCTGACTCCCATCTTGGAGCGTCAGGTTCCTGCAAGGCTCTGTGCTGGTGCTGGATGAAGATGGGCCAGCCCGGAGCCTGACTCTGCATAGCTGTGGCCTGAATAGAAGTACCTCCAGAGGTCTCTGGGCTGAACCTGGCCCCAGGAGGATATTCTTTGTTTGGGAAAACAAGGAGCCAGGGACGTTGCAGCCAAGAGGAGCCGTTTCTACTTCCCAGAGATGCACTCTACATAAGCCTCTTGGACCTAGGGGATTGTGAGGATCCCTGCTCAGCTCGTCCGAGTGGCCAGCACTGCTCTCACCAGAAGCAAAGGCCTGGGCCAGAGAATGAAGTGTTGTCTCTGTTGACCGTGGTGCTAAGGGACCCCAAGGTCTTGCAGTGCCTCTGACCCTGACTTAACTTCATAGTAGCATATGCATTATGGTCTCTATATTGATGTGAATCAGCTAAGACTCTCTTCTGCCAGTAAGAGAACTTGCCCTCAGTACTACTGGCCATAGGCTACACCAGCCCCAGGCCTGGCTGCCCCTCCGTCATCGGCAGAGCGTCAGCAGCTGTCTGACCAGTCCTAGCTCCTCACACCTCAGGCTCTCCTGCCTTGGGACTGGAAGGGACAGACAGAAGATGCAGGCTCCAGAGGAGCCGAAAACCATTTTTGAGACCACGGGGATTCTTCCTTCAGAAAGTCCCCATTGAACCCCCCTTGGGGAATTTTTCTTTTTTTCTTCTGAAAAGCTGCTGGGTACCTTTGCCATGGTTTGGTGGCACCTGCTTGAGCTTCAACCTTTGCCGGCTTGACAGTGGGAGCCACCGAATTGGGCCCCAGCATTTGGCTTTCCTCATGATGGCAACAACTGATCACAGTCCTTGGTCCCGATGGTGCCTACCAGCTCCTACCACATGGTGCCTACACATGTAAGAGTGCCACTTGTACATGTGTTGGCTTGTGTGCAGGCAGGACTGCTGCAGGGGAGCTTTCTGTGAACCGGCACCCCAAGCTGGCTTTCCCCTGATGATACTGAAGGGAACTTCCACTTTACAGCCCAAGGCGAGCAAGCAGGAAAAAGCCCAACCCAGTGGTGTCTGCCTCGAGTGTAGGCATCTTTAGATGAGCCAAGATAGCAACCCAAAACCCTGACTAAAGGGCAGGTGGTCTGGTGTGGGGAGGAGAGGGAGGCTGAGGCTAAGGCTGGTATCTTGGGCTGCCTCTTTCTTCTCAGACCACGTCAACTGCTTTAGCTTCTTTGTTTGCTTAGACTCTGATCTCAGCGTCAGGCTCTAGTTGACTCCGGGCCCTATGTAATCAAAGGTGGCCCTTTCATGCTCTTATAGGGGAGCTACCTTTAGCTATATTTATATGTAAGAGGCTATATTTAGATGTAGGAAGCCCCCTGCCAAAGCAGCCACGTTCTGTTAGGGTGGGTGCCCTGACCAGGTCCCGCACTGGGATTCTACTGGCTCCTTGACTCCCTACTGTTCCACGGCCACCGCCTTCCCTTTGACTACCTTCTAGCATCTTGAGAACCCAGACAAGAGATCTCTGCCCGCCTTGAACATTTTATATTCCTCCCCTATGTCCTCAACCTGAACTCTTACCCTGAAACCACAGGCCGCTCCTCTTTCATCTCTTCTTTGCTCCATGATTTTTTTAGCCCAACCCTCAATTTTAACAATAATGTGGGCAAGCAGCCGGGCCACTTCAAGTGCTTGGCAGTCCAGTCCCAGCAAGCTCACTTCGTGTCTCTGCACCTCGTCTTCCTACCTGTAAAATGAGACATATAACGATACTCAGTGTTTGTATAGCTCTAAGATGTCATGATTCTTGGTAATCAAGGATTAAAAAAAAAAGCGGTGATCACATTTTGAAACAAAACCATCAAAAGTTTGTGACTGAAAGATTTTTTTAGTCCATCTGTGATATAATTCAAAGACCATAAAATTCACTCTAGTGATACATTTTTAGTAAATGGATACATTCTCTGTCACCCTTGGAAGATACTTTTAGGCTTTCTTTCTGTTTGTGTGAAAAATGGTGCGGAAGCAGTGTGTGACCTGTGACCATACAAGAGGGAAGGAGGAGACTTTCTGTGGGGCAGGGGCAGGCAGGCCTCCACCCTCTTTCCTCCTCTGCCAATTTTGACACCAACTGCCTCTCCCACAGCACTCTACATCTCTGCTGGGTTCAATAACTCATTGTACTGGCCACACAGAACTTAGACACTGCTTACAGCGATGGGGCTTATTCACTGGGAAGCTAACAGGTCCATGATCAGAAACATTCAGGATACAGTTCATTGGTCAGGGAAGCTGATTCTCAGCCATGGCTCCAGGAAGAAAGACGTCTCTCTAGTCTTTGACCTCTTGAGCAATATGACAGAGTTCTCTTAGTGCCGCTAATAAGTGCTCAAAGGGCCTGCTACTCTGCCATAGTCTCAGCCTGAAGGTGCTGAGCCTTAACTCCATGGGACAGCAACCCTCACACCCCTAATTGTCTGAAGGCACCCCAGCTCCAACACACTCAGCCTTACTTGCTCCGCAAGCGGGGAAGCCCACCATTCTGTCTCAGACTCTGCCTCTTGTTCCAGCTGCTGCCACTCCTCTGCCACTTGCCTCCTCGTGTCCCAGCTTCCTGTGCCTGGATGAAGGCCCTTCAGTGCTCAGAGGATCTCAGGGTCCAAAGGACGTACTCCATTCCACTCTTCTTTCTTTCAAGAAAGGCAATCTTGCAGCTGAGATGGCTCCATTAGTGCCCAGCAGGATGGCAAAACTGACCATCCCCACCATGAGAGTTCCAAATCATTATCGTCACAATTAACCTTGGCTTGCTAACAGTCATTCACAGCTGAACCACGTCATCCTGTGAGCATCCTTCTCTTACCCAGAGCCACCGGGAAAAGTGACAGTGCAGCCAGTCCGCACCGTCCCGCTTGCTGGCTAGGTGGGAGCCATAAAGACCGTGGCGAGTAGAGCCATGGGATGTCATGCACGGCACCACAGCTTGGGCCTTTTTCTTGAGTCATTTAGTATTTTTCATTGGTTTGTTATTGTGTGTCCACTCTGGCCTTAGGAAAGGGCCGTGCTGGGCTTGGGCCTGATCCAGCACAGTCCCCCTTTTTAGCATGGACGTGCCCTTCTCAGCTGTGAAGCACAGCTCCTGGCATCCACGCTGCCAACCTAACAGACTCTCTTTGTGCATCGCATGCCCCCTGGGGAGGAACACGCCCAAGGAAGGTGCTGAAGTGGGGTGTGGGACAAGGAACGGATCTTGGCGTTCAAAGCCTGTGGCTTTGTTCTGATGTAATTCCCTTGATGACCCTGAACAGGCCCCTGACCCAACACACCTCGGAAGTCACTGTCTACATAGAGTAAAAACTTTCTAGGTAGAGTAAAATGTTCCTGGTGCCCCAGGGGGTGTTGTGCATGGCAGACAGACTGCCTCAGCCTCTCTGGCCCTGTTTCCAGCTGTGTGAGATGTAGGGGCTGCGGTTTGTGATCTTCAAGCCCCTTCCTGGCTCTCAGCGCCTCCCTTCCTCCGTGCTCCCTTCCCTTGCCTGCCCCTCTCATGTCCTCTCGCCCCCTCTCCCTCCTTCTGGTTCCCTCTAGAAACCCGGGAAACCTGTGGCTGCGATCATGCAGGACATCCATTCCCAGAGGGAGCGGGACCTGTTCCGGGAAGCAGACAGGTGAGGCCCTGGCCCTAGATTCCAGGGAAGCTTCTCGACCATTGGAACACTGTCCTCTTCCTCCTTCCTAGGAGTCTGCGACACAAGCCCTGCCCAGCCCAGCCTCTTTTCTGGGCCGTCTGGTACAGAGGCTCCGCTCAAGTGGGACCTCAGGAAGATGCACATTGCTGGGCCTCTTCCCAGCTGCTTCTCCTTTCCTGGGAAGAAAAAGCAGGAGGGGTTCTGTTAATATTTGTCCCTTTGGGCAAAGACTGCACTCCTAGAAACGTGTGTGAGTGAGAGTGTGTGCGTGCACTTGTGGGTGGGCTATCGGTGGAGCCAGCTCCTGATTTTTCTTGTCGATGTGGGAACAGGAATGTCGATGGTCTGAAAACCCCCCCCCCCCCGAAAACAGTCATTCAATTGGTCATTGACTCTGAACATTAAATGCACTCTGTGTTCCAACCCATTTCTTCCAATTTCAGTTTGTGTTGGTGCCAAGTGAGGCTACAGGCCCACACAGCACTCCCTTACAGAGATGGCCCCTGGGGAGGCTCCAGGTGGAACACAGCAGGCACCTGGCAGGCATACACAGCCTGGTGTTCTTCCCCAGGCTGCCACAGGTGGTGCTCGAGGACACTCTGTCCTCCCTGGAGAGACCCCCACACCCAGCTTGCCCTCCGTGGTGGTCTGTGCAGCTTGGTCTTTATGACCTCCGGTTGGTGACCACTGCGTGGTTTCTTTACATTTGGAGCCCCACCAAGGAGGTTTGTCCTTTTGGAATATCGGGAGTGCGATTCAGCCAACTTGCTTCGTGACCAGACAGCCCTCCCAGTGTGGGTCAGCACAGACCTTGACTGTAACCGTTGACATTGGGTTTTCGTTTGTTTGGAGTTTTTTTTTCTTAGACCTGCGTAAAGCCATGCTGCACAACGGCTAGAGTTCTGTGGCAGAGTGGGGTCAAAACTTGGCCTTGCTCGGAACCTTGGCCAGGCTGGAGTTTAGACTGGGCTCCAAACTCTTCCTCTGAGACACCAGCAGGTCAGACCGCTAGGTTCTCTTTCAGCCCTAAAATGTTCTGGGTTTGGAATCTCTGAGCCTGCTTCCTCCCCATCCCCTAAATAACAACCTTCTTCCATGCCCAAGATCTGAACAAGTTGGCAGATCAGTGGTTGAAGGTCACCTTGATCCTGATCGGGCCAATGGCCCTCAGTCTTGGAACTGAGAGGACAGTGGGTTGCACTTCCCAGACTAGGCATTTGCCTCATCCAAGAGGCAAAAAGATGACACTGATCCAAACTAGTCCAGTTGGCCCTCCCAGTTCCCGTGAGTGGAAGAAGGGAAGGGGCAGAGAGCAATCAAGACTACAGTATATTTAAGAAGGAACGATTCAACCAGGGTGCAGTACAGCACCAACGAAGCACACACCATTCCTCTAGTTCCTGAATGCTTACTCCCCACTCCCACCCCGCCCCAACCCACTACCATGACCTGGTTCTACCTTTCAAATCCAGCTAGACCAGACCGGAGTACACACATTAGTACAGATAAGAGCTCTTGACACATGGAATTCAGGACAGATAAAACCCTCAGGCACAGTAGTGGGAGTAGTGATATGAAGGTAGGGGGATGGGGGGCGGGGGAGAAAGGGGGAACCCATCACAAGGTTGGATATATAGCCCGCTTGCCCCGCCCAGGGCAGGGGGATGACTCACAGAAAGGTGGGTGAAGGGAGACAACAGAAAGTGTAAGACACGAAATAACAATAATGTATAATTGATCAAGGATTCACAAGGGGGGGAGGGGGGAAAAGAGGAGCTGATACCAAAGGCTCAAGTAGAAAGAACATGTTTTGGAAATGTTGATGGCAACATATGTACAAGTATGCTTCATACTATTGAATGATGGATTGTGATATGTAAGAGTCCCCCAGTAAAATGAGTAATTAAAAAAAAAAAGACTGTAGTTAGGGAAAACTCCCTTTTTCCAGAAAGCAACCCAAGCCAGACCAGCTGCCCTCAGGTCAGTTCCAATCCATAGAGGGTCCAGGCGTGTCAGAGTAGGACTGTACTTTCTGGGTTTTCCATGCCCCCCCCCCTCCCAAAATAGCTCGCCAGGCCTTTGTTTGGCGGCACCTCTGACTTTTCCATTCACAGCCCAGCGCATGAACTGTTTGTACCAGGACACCAAGAATGAGGCGGGGAGGCTTCCTCGTGACCCGCTTGCTGGTTCTGGACAGTGATGGGGGCGTGTGCATGGAGAGTCTGTGTGGAGACTGTATATCTGTGTGTGTGGAGTGGGGGTGGGTGGAGACAGATTCTAAAGCCTGCTCCCTTGGTCCCTCACAGATACGCCCTGGAGAGACCCCGATCCCGCAGCCCGGTGAGCCGCTCGCTGTCCCCGAGGTCCCACACGCCGAGCTTCACCTCCTGCAGCTCCTCACACAGCCCTCCAGCACCAGCCCGGGTGGACTGGGGCAACGGCAGGGACTCCTGGGAGCACTCCCCCTATGCCAGGAGGGAGGAGGAGCGAGAGCTGCCCCCCTGGCGGGAGAATGGGGAGGACAAGAGGGAACGGACGGACCTGTGGGTTCACGATCGCAAGCACTACCCCTGGCCACTGGACCAAGGCGAGGTTGATGAGCGACTGGACGGAGGGAGGGGCCACCGAGACAGGTACCCCCGGCCCGGCTCTCCCACTGCGCCTCACCCCGCGTCCAGCTACAAAAGCCGAGAGGAAGGCTGCTACCGGAAGGAGCCCAAAGCCAAGCCAGACAAGTACACGAAGCAGCCGCAGGATGCTCCCGGGAGGTCCAGGAGGAAGGACGAGGCCAGGCTGAGGGAGAGCAGACATCTGCACCCCGAGGAGCCAGGCAAGGAAGACGGGCTAGAGCCCAAGGGTGCCAGGGCCCCCGAGAGCGCCATGGCCAAGCTGAGTGAGAAAAATAAAACCAAGAGGCCCGACAGAGACCAAGACGGAGTCGGTGCTAGAAAAGAAAGCAGAACGGCCCAGGATGAGGTAATGACGTGAGGCCTTCTCCAGGTGAGGGGAGGCAGGCCCCAAACCCATGGTGGAATCGGTCCAGCGTTGTAGCGATCTGGTAGGACTTCCCAGAGGAGGCTGCAGTGCTAGGGGAGCAGACAGCATGGATTTCGCCCTCGGATCAGCTGGTAGGTTCTAACCGCTGACCTCTAGCCAGTGCTCGCCCAGGGAAAATAATAGTAGCCGTCATAATATAAGGAAGATGAATGGGCAGTTACTATTTGCCAGATACTGTGCTAAACACTTCATCGTAAAATGAAGCTGCTTCCTTCTCACGGCATTATTATAGGTGAGGAAACCGAGGCATAGAAAGCCTAGCTCATTGACTCCCGAGCCCCTGGTCAGAGGGCAGCAGAGCTGGGGTGGAGTTGGGGGGTCACACCCAAAGCTCCTGGTTCTGAACCCCACACCTCTCAGTTGCCTTTCCTAGACATTTGGGAGGGACTTGATGCCGAGGCAGGCTTTGGCTGCCCTGTTTGTCCAGGGTGGAGTGGCCCCAAGCTGTTTGCACCCACTGGGTGGGCCAAGGGAGATTAGATCTTTGGTCCTCTTGGCCCTCTCTCCTGCCAAAAATCATCTCCCAATCTTAGGGCTCCGGTGAGAGGCGGTCAAAGAGAAGCAGCCACCACCCTCTAAATTATACAGCTGCCCAGGGCTTGGCATGTTTCTCCAGCCGTCAGTGGCCCACAGTGTTTTACTTCCACTTTAATAAAAATGCACAGCAATTAGCTGGAACCACTCAACCAGGCATCTGAAAGGACTCTCCAGCCATTTGGGTTACGTCATCCCACTACAGATCGTGGGAAGAGCTCTGGTACGAGTTTGTCTTCTCGCTTGGCTTACATGTCCTTCTTGCCGGAGGCTCTGAGATTGACGTTGCAGTGGGAGAGCAGAGGTTGGGGCGAGGGTCTGTATAAAGAACCTAATTTTCTTCTAGTCGCCCTGGCCCAGGAGTTGGTGGCCCTTCTCAACTCCATCAATACCGAAGCATCATACGATTGGCCAGAATATCAGCATTGGGTGAATCCACAGGGTCCCAAAGGTGTACTACACAGAGTCCACACTGTGGCAAAGACCAAGGTCTAGTGGTGAAAACAGACCTATAAGAAATAACTGAGTTGCAATGGGACCCATGCTGGGATGGCCTGGTAGACAAGCAGCAATGTGAGCCTGGACCTTACCTACCTATCTACTGACTTGTCCACCACCAGCCTAACTCTGCCCCCACACAGAGGTATGGAGCTGCCCCATTGCACTCCAGCCCACCCTTCTTACCTTCTCCTTAGTCACCTGTCTATGTCACCTACCGTGCTTCCCATGGACTAACATCACATTGCCTATTCAAAGTGACTTGTACTACAAGCTGTCTTGAAGGCCTGGTTTGCATGGGGTGGGGGTGTCCAGGAAAGCATATGGGTTTCCCCACATGTCTGTGCCTCGAGGCAATTCTGCTGCTTTTATAGCCCAAGAGTGGGGTCAGTAGGTGTTGGTGCCTCGACTGCTGGTTTCTTCAAGTTTAGAGTCAGGCAACCCAGCACTGTTGACCTCCCAGGAGAACAACGAGTTTGTCTCTCTCATCTCCGTGAGGCTGTGTCCTGCACTTTGAAAAAAGCCCCGGTCCCCAGTGTTGTTCCCTGAGTGGGTGGCAGGCAGCACTTGAAGGTGGGAATGAGGCAGTGGAGTGAAGGATGTGTCCTGGCTCTTCTTGCTAAAAAGAAGCCGTCATTCACCACAGGGCCTTTGCATGAGCTTCCCTGGGCTAGGGGAACCCCTCCCTCTCCAAGTCCACCCAGCTTGCTCTTCGCCTCTTTGTAGCTTTACTCATTTGTCTCCTCCTCCACAAGCTCTTTCTTGGCCACGACAGGAAATCTCTGTACCAATTTTTGGTTAGCATGCCCCACTTTCTAATCTATCACCTCACTTATGTATTTATTTTCTTTTATGTCTCTCTCTCACCTCCTAACATAACCTCCATGGGGGGCTGGAATTTCTGTCTGCATTGTTCTCGACTATGTCCCCGGCCACCTGCACGGCACATTGTGGGTGCTTGAGAAGTGCCCTTTGAACAAGAAAATGACCAAATCCAGAGTTTGGAAGCAAAGACCTGGCTTCTGAGAACCAGGTCACACCCTGCTTTCCTGTGTGCCTCAATTTTCCTGTCTGTGAAATGGGTGTAATCACAAAGGCGACTGGAGCACTTTAATGAGCTTGTGCTCGTTAAGACCATCTTGAGATCTCTGGAGTAAGCACCCGTGGGGAGCACCCGGCGTGTGTGCAGCTGAGATGATGGGTGACCGGGCCATGCCTGAGACCCAACCCTGATGGTAGGACCAGAAGGAAAGAGGTCAGATTACCGAAGCAAGGAAATGAGGGGCAGGAAGTAAGCTCTTTCTTCCTTGGCAGGGAGACCCAGTTAGAGACTGGGATGCTGTATCAGCTCCCCAGCCCTGCTCCAACAGAAGCACCACATAGTGCATCGCTACAAACCACAGAGATGCACCCGAGTCTTGCCTCGGGGTCCTGGGTGGCGTTGGTCAGGCCGACTTCCTCCCGAAAGCTCTGGGACAGTGGTTCTCAACCTTCCTAGTGCTGTGACTCTTTGATACAGCTCCTCATGTTGTGGTGCTACCCCAACCATAGAATTATGTTCGTTGCTCCCTCATAACTGTAATTTTGCTACTATGATGAGTCGGGGACCCCTGTGAAAGGGTCGTTCGACCCCCATAGGGGTTGCCACCCACAGGTTGAAAACCACTGCTCTAGGAGACCATTTCTTGTCTCTCCTGGCCTCTCGCAGCCCTGGGTGTTTGCCAGCTTACAGCTACAGCATAGCTCTTAACATGTGACTGCTTTCCCCTGTCCACCTCTGTGTCTCTTCTCCGCTCCCCTTTTATATAGACACCCCCAAGTTAGAGTAGAACCGACTCTAATCCAGTATGACCTCGTGTTCATTTAAGTCGTAACATCTGCAAACAAGGGCAAACTCCCAGGTACTAGGTGTTAGAATTTCCCCACAATTGCTTGGTGGGGGGGGCAGCGGTCAATCCTTAAGTGATCTCATCCTTTCTGGACAGAAGCCAGGCAGCTGATGCAAACAGTAAAGCCAGGGGCAGTGATAGGACCGTGGCTGACTGAGGAGGGGCATGCCTGTGTGTAACAGGTGCCAGTCCCATGCTGTCAGAGTGCCCATTTGGTAAAGTCAGACCAAATATTAAGGAATGAATTTCCTGCATTGTATAAACTCTATAGACACAACTATCCATTGGCCAGATACATTCCAGCCCCCCACCCCATTGCAATTTCCACGATAAGTAATCCATTAAAAAAACAAACTCACTGCCATCAAATTGATGCTGACTCATTAAAAAAATGACTATAGGACAGGAGTAGAACTGCGCCTGTGAGTTTTTGAGACTGTAACTCTTTTTTAAAAAAAATCATTTTATTGGGGGCTCATACAACTCTTATCACAATCCATCCATACATGCATTGTGTCCAGCACATTTATACATTTGTCGCCATCATCATTCTCAAAACATTTTCTTTCTACTTGAGCCCTTGATATCGGCTCCTCATTTTTGCCCCTCCCTCCCCTCCTCTCCCTCCCTCGCTGCCTCATGAACCCTTGATGTTTTATAAATTATTCTTTTTCCATGTCTTGCACTGTCCAATGAGACTGTAACTCCATACAGGGGTAGAAAGCCTCATATTACTCCCTTGGAGCAGCTGGTGGTTTCAAACTGCTGATCACTACACCACCAGGGCTCCTAAATAATCCACACACGGGAGACATATAAAACCCACTTCCTTAAGCTCAAAGGTACGATGGTTAAGTTCTTGAATGCTAACCCCCAAGGTTGGGATTTAAAGCCCTGGTGATCTGCTTCCCTAAGGATTACAGCCTAGAAAACTATAGGGCAGCTCTGCTTGGTTACAATGGGGTCACCATGAGTCAAAACTGACCCAATGGTATCTAGCAACAGCAACAAAGTACCCAGTTCGGCAGGTGCAAACTTCGTACCCACTCCACCCTTTCTACCAGTCTCCATGCTGCCATCGACCAATATGCACAGAGCACGCAGATCAGTAGAAAGTACATCCTCACGAAGAATTCTGCAACAGAATGGCAGAGTATGACCTTGAATCCTAAGAAGAAGATGGAGGGACATTGTTGCAGCAGTGCCTGCAAGGCCCAGAGTTAGCATGGGGACCTGGGATTTGAAGGAATCATAGGTGTTTGCTGGGTGAACGAGAAGAACAGGCAGTGGGGAGTACCATGTGCCAAGGTCCTGTAGCTGGAGCCTGAGAGAGGCCAGTGTTACCAGAGCACAGAGGGGGGTGTGTAGAAAGTAGCAGGTAAGGCTGATGGGCCATGCTTGTGGGCTTTGTAAGCAGTGGGAGCCAATGCAATGTTTAAGCAAGAAGATGCGTTTGTGCCTTTTAGAACAATCACTCTGATTGCCGGGGGAGAGATTTGGAATGGGAAAACAGAACAGATGTGGGAGTCTAGTCAGGAGATCGTTTAGCAATAGCCCAGGCCTCATGATGAGTAGACAGCCGGATGCACTGGCTACATTTGTCTGTCTCCCTCAGGACTTCAACTCAGTCCTTTCTGGGCCAGCTCCCTAGTACAGAGTTCCATTTCTACCCCAGGTGTATGGAATCAGAATCAACAGCTTAGAGCCCCAGGGAAGGCTTGTCAATTCCTTGGGACGCAGCCATAGGAATCACCTGGAGGTTGGTAGGTTTGACATTTGTTTCATGTAAGCTGGTCCCAGAGAATCACCTGGAGATCTTGTGAAAATGTAGACTTTAATTCATTATACCTGGGGTAGAAGGCAATTCACATCCAGGGGGCCAGCGCTGAATGAACTGGGCTAAAGGCCTGTTTCTCCACCACCACCCCCTCCACCCCCGCCCCAAGCTGCTGCTCTCCCCAGGAAGTGCCCCAGGGCAGACGGAAGCCTGGAAAGGCACTGACCTGTCTGCTTTCCTGCAGGAGGGATGAGCAGGGACCCACCTGGTTAGGGGCTTCCGACTACCAAGGTTGCCCCTGCCTTCCCTAGCTGAGTGAGCCTGGCTCTCCTGGGTGTGGGGCTGCAGGGCTGCCTGGGAAGGGGGAGGATTCTTTATTTTGACCGACTAATTTATTCAGGAAGATAAAAATAGACGTGGTCATCTGTTAAACGCACATCTGTGGCTGTCCTGCACTAAGTTAGCTCCCGGGACGTCAGTGGAATCTTCCTCTGCAGCACTGGAAAGAGCAAGGGTTTGAGGCTGTGCACTGTCTGTTCCTGTCCGCTAAGAACTGGGCAAACCAGTCGGCCCGGAGGGAGCTTCTACCCCCAGCTGGCTCCTTCTCAGCTCAAGGGGTGTGTGTCTGATTGGAAGAACTAAGAACTAGTGGAGTCAGCCAAAAATGTCCTGAGACATGCAATGGGTTGCTAAGGAAACCGGAGTGGAGTCATTGATTTGATGGCAAAAGTTTAAGTCAAGTCATGGGGATATGTCTTCCCGAGGTTTCCAAAGCAGGGCTTGGCATACTTTCTCGACAGAGGGCCGGAGAGTAAATCGTTGAGGCTCTGGGGACCAAGAAGCAAAGTTGAGATTGGGTAGGTATTTATATAACTGTTTAAAATGTTGCCCTGTAAAAACCCTTCATAGCTCCTGGAGGAGATGAAAACAAGGATTGGGCCTGCAGACTCGCAAGCCCTGGAGGCTGCTGGTCTGTGGCAGTTAGTTGCGGGCAAGTCGGCCCTGACGCATTGCTACCCCATGCACCGTGGACGACACCTCTGCCTGGCCCTCTGCTTTCCCCTTGATCAGCTGCAGACTGACTGCATTACTGTGATCCATAGGGTTTTTCACTGGCTGATTCTTGTGGTGTGATCGCCAGGTCTTCCATGTTTTATCTATCCTAGTCTGGAACTCTGCTAAAAGTTGGTCTGCACCATAGCAAGCTGCAGTCTTCCACCGATGGATCAGTAGTGGCTGGACAGGGGGTGCATTGGCCTAGAATTGAACCTGGGTCTTCTGCATGAAAGACAGAGTTCTACCGATGACTAAACAATGCCTCTCTACCCCCTGGCTAGAGACCCACCTTCTCCACCTGCTTTTACATTTTGTGGGCCTGGCCATTATCATGAGGAGTTTCGTTAAAGGCAGGGGATAGAAATGGATAAAGGAAAGGAAAAGATTGCTTGGACTGTAGCTCTCTATGACAGATGCAACAGAGCAGTGGGGGCGGGGGGTGCGACAGCCCCCACAGCCCCCTCCTATCTGTAAATGGCCTGAATGTCGTTTTGTTTGCCCTAGGCAGGTCTGTTGGGGAACTGTCACCGGGCTGGCTGTTCATTCCAAGTGCTAAGCCTGCCCTGCCAATTCACCAGCGGCCTCTTCTGCTCACTCTCTCTAGCCACAGGCTTTCCAAGCTGCAAAGACACCAGTTTGTCCAGGGTTTCTGCCCACCCCCTGCAAGACATCCAGCTAGCCTTTAAGACACTTCTCTGCCTCTGTGTGACTGTGTGACCTTGAGCAAGTTACTTAACCTCTCTGTGCCTCCGGTTCCTCATCTGTAAAATGGAAATATAGAGGCCTGGGGGGCTGGTGGGGGGAGGTTGGTTTGGGAGCGCAAAGGAAAGGACGTGGGAGAAGCGTAGCTGACTGCCGTCAGCTGTGCTCCCTCCTATGGTTACTGGCCGTGGTGGCCCCTCTTTTCTCAGTCTCTGTTCCCCCTTGATTCTTTCTGTTCTTCCCTTTTCAAGGCCGGAAAAGAACAGGAGGGCTTGGAAGAAAATGCCCAATCAGTGAACAGGCAAGAGAAGGGAACAGAGTCTTTGGATCTAGAAAACGCCAGGCAAAAGAAAAGCCAGGTAAAGCTTGTCCAGGTAGTGGCAGTCTGTCTGTCTGGACAACCACCAGAATCGGAAGACTCCCCGCCCTGCCCAGTGATGCTTCGCAGACTGGATGGTACCCGAGACCCACCCTTGGGTCCATGGGTGGGCCGGTCCCCCCAGCACTTTTCTAAGGACTGCCTTTTGCAGTCTTCATTGAGCCACTCCGTCCCCACACGCCTCGTACTCTAGCGACTTGGCTGGGCCTCACAAGAGCAAACATGTGCCTGAAAAAACCTCGGGCTTCAGCGCCAGCCTCCCTAAATAGAGCTGCAGGTCTCTCGGGGACTCGGGGCTTTAGAACTAGGGCCTTGGCCCAGGGCAGGCCCATATCCCGGGATTAATAGGACTTCGACTGTGCTCGTAAAGATGATTTTACTTAATTAAAATGAAAAAACAACAACACAAAAACAGAAACAAAAAATTCAGCTATCATCCTCCTGAGCTGAGGCTGCCACTGCAAAGAGAAATGTCCTTGGGCTGTGCCCAGCTCCGTGCCTTTCTGGTCAGGGGAGGCGGGAGCATGAGTATTCCCAGCAGGAAAATTCATTTGCTGACTCTGCCTGCTGGGTCTGCAGGCTGCTGGGAACGACATGGGGAAGACTCAGGAGGGGGGTCATGTGAACCTCTGAAGGTAGTGTCAATCCTGTTAGTGGGGTAGAGGGGGCGTCTTTGCCTCCTTTACATTTGGAGATGCCCCAAGTACCAGATACTTGCTCCAGCAACCTGATCCGTCTCGAGTTTCGAGCTCAATTATCCATCCATTCAAAAACGATTTGTTGAAGACTTACTGTGTGCCAGGGGTTGACATTCTTTGTGTCGCTTTGAACATAACAGACTAAACATGAAAAGCTTATGCTGAATCCTGCATGGTTTTGAGCCTCAAACTTAGGCTGAGTCAGTGCCGTGGGACCTCCGAAGCTTACCACTCCGTATTCCCCAGCCAGTGCTCCCTGCTCCAAGAGTGTTCAGGATCTCCCTGCTTGCAAGGGCCTTAGTGGGCCACCCCTGACTGCCATTCTGTATTTCTTTGTACAGGATCAAGATTGGGACAGCGGAAGTGAGGCAGAAGGGGAGAGCTGGTACCCTACAAACATGGAGGAGCTTGTCACGGTGGATGAAGTAGGGGAGGAAGATTTTATTATGGAACCAGATATCCCAGAGCTGGAAGAAATCGTGCCCATTAACCAGAGAGACAAAGCCTGCCCAGAAATGTGCCCTTATGTGTCGGCCTCCTTAACCCTGGACTTGACCAAGGATTTCACCGAAGAGGGAGTCAAGACTGAGGGCACCGGGGTTCCTGAAATCATTCCCCCATCAGTCAAAGAACCGCCTTCTACTTCCGTGAGCTGTCCCAGTGACATGGACGTGGAAGCAGCAGGCCTAAATCGGGATGCTGAGCGGAAGCCAGCTGAATGTGAAGCAAGCCTCTCACTGGTGGCTTCAGATTGCCACAGGAAGGAGGCCGGGGACAAGGGCAGCGCAGATGTGCCTCTGGACCCCGCAGCCCCTCAAATGGCCTCCCCCGAGCCGGCAGAGGAGAGAGCCCAGCAGCCTAGCCCAGCTCTCGATGACCCCAAGGTCAGGGGGACACTCGAAGAGGGGGCTTGTGAAGGCAGCGTCCTGGAGGAGAAAGCCAATCCCTCTACTGAAAGCGATCTCCAAAACCAGGCTTGTGGAGGAGCGGTGACCCCGGGTAACTAACCTCCCCTTTCCTCAGGTGTGGTTGGGTTGACCAGACAATTAGCTGCTCCTACAGGGTGTGGGCATGTGCAGGCTGGAATGGACAGCGGTGAGTGGTGCACTAGCAGTGCAGAAAGTAAGTCGGTCACAGAGACAAGCTTCGGAAAGGCCCCATGAAACAGAGCGAGGCGGACCAGCACCGTCGTGAATGCTATGAAGGCAGTCAGCTAGGAGGCTGCAGGTTTGCAAAGCAGCCAATTCAAGGCCATGTCCTGTGAGCCCAGAGGCACGCAGACCACCAAAGTGAGCTGAGTGATCAGCAAAAAGGGGTGGGATCAGCAAGCAGCCCCTCACACCCAATGCAGAGGACCACCCAGGCTATTCCGTGAGGCCCACGGCGTGGGGTGGGACAGGAGTATAGGGGGTGGAGGGAGCAGAGGACCGAGGATGGGGGGGAGCGGGACTCGCAACAGCAGGAGGAGGACTTGCTCTGCCCCTTGTTGACTACCTCAGGCCCATGGCGCTCCGGGCTCAGCAGTGAAACAAGATGTGTCCCAGGGTCTCTGCTGGCGCCCTTGGAGGTGCTGTTGTGTCCAGGCCCGGCACGGACATCATGAAAGAGAGGGAGTCTAAAATAGACTAAGGCAGGGCTTATCTGCCAAATGGAAACTAAGACTCATCTAGGGCAGTGGTTCTCAACCTTCGAGAACCTTTCACACAGTTCCCCATGTGGTGGGGACCCCCAACCGTAACATTATTTTCATTGCTGCTTCAGCACTGTCATTTTGCTACTGTTCTGAATCGTCATGTAAATATCTCACATGCAGGATACATTTTCATTGTTACAGCTTGAACATAAACATAATTAAAGCATAGTGGTTAGTCACAAAACAATGTGGAATGATATATTGTGAACTATTTATGTGTTTTCCCGTGGTCTTAGGCAACCCCTGTGAAAGGGTCATTCCACCCCCAAAGGGTTCATGACCACAGGTTGAGAACCGCTGATCTAGGGCTATAGGAGTGAGGAGGAGGGAGGGCTAATGGTTTGTTAGCCTTCTAGCTCGCCCCTGGAAAAGAACTAGAGATTTATTACAAGGAACACCTGTCGCACACCAGTGGCCAGAAAATACAGGGGCAAATCTTAAAAATGAGTAACCCCCTCCCCCAGTGTTCGGAGGGTGGCCGGAACTGGTCGTGGACCTGGAGGCTTGGGCTTTCTCTGAATCCTGCTGATGGGCTCTGTTTTTCACCTGAGCAGGGCTGGGTCTCCATGGAAACCCAGTCACGAGCTGCTTGCTTGTTGCTAGAGAAACCCTGAGGCCCAGGCAGGCTCTGTGGAAGAAGGCAAGGATCGAGGAGTGGAATTGTCACCTCACTCCGACCAAAGCCCGTGTTGGTTTGGGCACACAGTGACGCTAGTGGCTCACTATGTGACCCAGCGTTTTGAGTTTAATGACCTTGTTTGAGAAGCTTGGGGTGAGCGTGGCATTGCTTCGTTGCCAGCCTTGGGGTTCCTGTGGATGTCGGCACCACTTTTGTCCAGGAGTTGCCCTTCTAGCTGCTGCAGAAATGCATCGATATTGAGTTCATCAATACTGGGGGGCTGGGGCATCCTTGCCAAAGGCCATCAAAGCTAAGGTGACCAGATTTAAAGCAGGACACCATTGACCAGGGGGCGGGGGTGTGTGTGTCTTGATTTAAAATTTGGTCTATATGGACCAAATAGATTGTTCCCTAGCTGTCGTGCATGCTTTCCAGAAATCGGGACTTTTTTAAAACACCAAAAATCAGGACTGTCCCACCAAAAGCAGGACATCTGGTCACCTTAATCAAAGCCTATAGCCCCCTGGACCAAGTGCACAGCTCTGCCATGCTTTTCTGGATGCGGCTTCCTCTTGGCAATGGAGAACTCTCAGTTACAGCAATGTGTTCATAATTGGCCATTGTTTTCCCAGGTTCATTTTACTAGAGACTTGAATTCCAGGGCTTCTTAGAGGCACGCTGTGTTGCATTTGTTCTTTGCCCTGGCTTCTGTTTTGCAGAAACCTCCAGATACATGGAAACGAAATCCTTGGACACAAGATCGCCAGAATACTCCGAAGTGGAGCGGCAACAGCCCCTTTCTTTGCCTTCCTGGGAACCGGAGGATGTGTTCAGCGAACTTAGCATCCCTCTAGGTAGGTGAAATGCACCGCCTTCCCGAGAACTCGGCTCCCAGAAATAGTTCTGTGGCAGCATCTGAGAGCATGAGAAGGCTTTTTGTCGTCTGTCGTTGTTTTTATGTCTGATGCAAGAACCTGGATTTGCAAGGTGCCACATTAAAGCTTCTTGCACTTTCGGTCTCTCTTGATAGACCAGCTACCCCAGGAGACTAGGCTTAGAGAGCACAGCCCTGGGACCTGGTGGCATAGTGAGCTACGCATTGAGCTGTGAACCACAATGTCACTGGTTCGAAACAACAAGCTGCTCCAAGGGAGATGAGGCTGTCTACTCCTATAACGATGTAAAGTTTCTGAAACCCATAAAGGGCAATTCTCCTCTGTCCCGTAAGGTCGCTATGAGTTGGAATCGACCCGATGACTGTGAGTTTGAGTTGACCTGGGTGCAGAGCTGGGAGAAAATGGTTTTCCAAACAGGGAATGCTTTATTCCGAACCACACAGCCTCTAAGCTTGGCCCGTGTGTAGACTGAGCAGAGGCCTAGTGGCCTGCTCAGAATGAACAAACCTCTTCTGCTCCTGGCCACCTTTTCTCGCCCGGTGCTGTGGTCCTGGCCTCATCAGCACCTCGCTCTTCCCCTTTGAGAGCCCCGTTTCCCAGAGATCATGATGTTGAATAGACTGTGCTGAGGGTGACCCTGTGAGTTTGACATGGGACCATTGGACAGCGAGGCACCTGGTCCAGGCCCTTCCCTTTCCATTCACTGGGTGGACTGTATCTTCAGATAAGTCAAAGCCCTTTTTGACCATCAGTTCCCAACTCTACCATCTGGGGGTGGGGGTGTGTGGGGTGTGTGTGTGTGTGTGTGTGTGTCAGGGCTCATTTTCCAAGAGGGGACTGAAGCCTGACTCAGCGCAGGGGGACAAAGGCAGTTTGGAAAAGTCCCCCCAGGAGATTCTGGTGCCAACTCTTACCCTGTGACTCCCACTCGTTCACCCCCTGCCATCTTTGACACTTTCATTGACCCCGAGAGGTGGAGGAAGCAGTGAGACGAAGTAGGAGCAGAGCGGGGAGCTGCTCAGGACAAGAGGACCAGACTCAGACGGAGAGTGTGCCAAGGTGGGGCCAGCAGTCCAGATGGATGATGACCGATGGCCACAAGTCAGCTCAGACGGGGGTGGGGGCGGTGGGGGGGAGGCGCTGCTCACAGCTCGGGCTCCCCCTTTCCGCCCAAGTGTCTGCTGTTCTTCTCCTGTCAGAAAAGTCCCTTCTGTTTTCCCTTCCAAATGTGTCATTTCTGTAAAATCACACTTGAGAACAAGCTTCCTGCTTTTGTTTCTAAAGGGGTAAAATTGCACCGCACCCCCTGGGCAAAAACATTTTTTAAAAAAAATGAAATGCTGACCTTTGAATCAACTGCGGTGACGACACTGGGTGTTTTTTTATTTAGTTTTGTTGTATTGAGATGCAATCCTGATTTTAAGGTTTTCATCCAGAGGCATTAGGGACAGTGTGGCCCAACCTCTACCTTATTCCCCCGGTACATTGGGATCACTCCTGGGGAGACCCAGTGTCCATTCAGCAGTTACTCCCCCTTCTCTCCTTCCTGCAGCCCCTGACAACCACAAGTCTGCTTTCTCTGTGTGGATTTGTCTGTTTGGGAGATGGCTGATAAATGGAATCACACCGTCATCTGTAGCCTTCGGTGTCCGGCTTCTTTGACTTGTGGTTGGGTGCTGTCGAGTTGGTTCCCCCCATAGTGAGCCCATATGCGTAGACTTATACAAGAGCACACAGCACCATCCTCACAACTGTTGGCCGGCTGGATCCCGCTGGGCAGCCACTGTGTCAGTCCATCTCCTCGACGGCCTCCTCCCTTTACCAAGCACGGTGACCTTTCCTAGGGATAGGTCTTTCTTGAGAACATGTCCAAAAGTATGTGAGACAAAGTCTCTCCATCCTCACTTTTCGGGAGGACTGTTACTTGTAAGGTTGCTTTTGTGCTGCACCGCAGACTGTATCAGTACTTCACTCTTCTGGGTGTTCTAACCTACGCGTCGGTCGCAAAGGCTGATTTTCAGGACAAAGGTTTGCCAAGGGATTCATTTGTGCGGCCAATTAGGCTTCCTAGAGAATGTGACCATGTGCTGGAACCTCTGGGGAAACATGACTGTGACCCCTTAGTCCTCCAAGGACTTGGAATTTAATGAACACACAAGCAAAAGTTAAGAAGGAATTCTATTACCTTATCAGTGGCATTTTTGAGCCTTATGTTTAAGGTTGCCAGGGTTGAGGAGGGAGATAAGAAGTTACTGCTTGGGGAGTTAGTGGGCTTCTGTTGGGGTTGCTGAAAGAGCTTTGGAACTAGATCCTGGGAGATACCACATGGTGAATTTCATTCCTGTAAGTGAAAGAGGAGCTGATCTCAAGGGCTCAATAGAAAAGAAATGGCTAGAAAAGAACGATGGCAATATATGTGTTAATATGTCAGATACAATTGATGTATGGATTGTAACAAGAGTTATAAGAGCCCCCAGTAGAATGATCTTTTAAAAAATGGTTAAAATTTAAGACCCATGTTTGGGGCACATGTATCAGGGAGCGAAAGTTTAAATATGAAAGACAATTGTAACACATTCAAAAGATGGGAAACTATCTAAAGTGAATATTTAAAATGCGATTGCTTTCCTCCAGCCTCAGCACCCAGAAGCTGTCACTGTTAGATCCACAGTCTTCCACAGACATAGGATCCCTGTACCCATAGTGCTCTGCGGTTTGCTTTTTGCCTTTTACGTGGATGATGGAGAGCTTGTCATGTTGGAACATCGAAAGAGCATTCTTTCTCACCATTGCAAATAAGCTTGGCTCACCCATTCCTCGACTGTGTCGAATGGCTGTGTTCACTTTGCCATTATAAAAATGCTGTCATAGCTAAGTTTAATTTTTATCTTTTGTCATCTGGGTACCCTTATCTCATTGAGCCCTCTCAAAGAAGACCGAAGAACTAGGAAGTATTTTTATCCCCATCATACAGGTGAGAAACTGACGGAGGTAGAAACACAGAGCTCACACTTGGTCAAGACTGAAACCCCTCCCTCTGGGCTTTCCTGCCTTCCAGACGGGCTTGCACAGCTCCTGTGGGTGCATAGGCCAGTGCTTCTGTAGGTCCGCGTCCTGGCCCTGGGGCGGGGGAGGGAGGGGATGCGGGGCCATAATGTATTTCCATTTTAAATTTCATAATTGCTAACAAGTGGCATTCCCAAAAGATCATACCCCTTCTCCCTGCAGCCTTGTGTAAGAAGTCCCCGTTCTCCATGGGCTCGCCAGTATTGGAGGGTTATCCTTCTTGAGTCTGCCCATCTGTTAGGAGGAACGTGTACCTATGCTTTAAAAACAAAACAGTTCTGTTGAAGTATAATTGACATCTAGTAAAGTGAACGTATTGAAAATGTACTATTTGGTCCATTTTGACACATCTATGCACCATCGAGACCATCACCCCACTCAAGATGAACATCACCAATACCCCCCAGACGTACCTCATACACCTTTGCAATCCCTCCGTCCCCACACCCCAGCCCCTTGCCAAGCACAGATCTGCTTTGTATCACTATTCGTTTGCATTTTCTAGAGTTTTAGAAATAGGGTGTGTGATCTTTTTTTTTCTTTCCATTTTGCTGCCTAGTTTTAGTCATGCATGATCATTGTTTGGGGATCGGTTCGTACTGTTGGGTGTGCCAAGAATTTGTTCACATGCTGGTTGGCGATTGCATTGTGGACATGGACAAAGCACGTTTTGCTTAACCCATTCACCTGTTGATGGCGTCTGGGCTGCTTCCAGTTTGGGGTGGTTGTTCTCATGCACAGTTAACCTTGAGACTCACTGTCTCATGGATGCCCTGGGGAGGGGCAGGCTGCCGTTTGCTGCTCTCGATGTTGCACCTGCATCAGCACCGAATCCCAGCAACCTCCTCCAAGGTCACGCAGGATGCTCAGGCCAGAATGCAGGAGTGCTGACCTGTGGGCTCTGCCCCGCTTCCCCCGCCCAGTGCAGGCTGCACAATGGAGGACGCCCCGCCATTGTGTGCAGTTCTTGAGACCACAGACTGGAATGTGCCTCCCGGAGCTCCACCCCCGGCTTGTTGTTACTTGCTGGCTGGGTAAGATAAGGCAGATGCCATTTCTTCAGCTGTCGGTCAGGGAGTAATAGCTGCTTACCTCTTGAGTTATTTTGAGAATTGAGTGGGAGAATGCTTCTGTGGCCTTGCAACCCACCAGTGCATTCTCCACCCAAGCCAACAAAACAATTGTCAGCAAGTCGATCCCAATGCACGATGGCCTCACATGTCAAGAGTTGAGTTGTGCTCCCTGGGGTTTTCCAGGGCTGCCTGTGATCCTTCTGGAATAGATTGCCAGACCTCTCTCTCTCCCAAAATGCCTTTGTGTGGATTGAGCCCCTGACCTTCCCATTAGCAGTCAGACACTTAACCATTTGCACCACCTGGGAACTCCCAGTGTCTCCCCATAGGATACCTAATAAGCTTTTTTTTTTTAAATCATTTTATTAGGGGCTCATACAACTCTTATCACAATCCATACACACATCAATTGCGTAAAGCGCATTTGTACATTCATTGCCCTCATCATTCTCAAAACATTTCCTCTCCACTTAAGCCCCGGCATCAGGTCCTCATTTTTCCCCTTCCTCCCCAGTCCCCGCTCCCTCACGAGCCCTTGGTAATTTATAAATTGTTATTTTGTCATATCTTGCCCTGTCCGACGTCTCCCTTCACCCACCTTTCTGTTGTCCGTCCCCCAGGCTTTGCCTCTTGCTTTTGTTCGTTTCTGGAATATATGTATCGAGACCCACTCTGTTTCCTCCCAGTGTGGTTGTATAATCTTCTTTCCCCAGGATCAATCACTGCTACCCAGGGACTTCTAGGGTCACAGGAGGTAGTTGTCCATCTTTCCCCTCTGGAGAACAGGGAGGTGAAATAAGGGATGCCAAGGGCTGAGAGGAAGGGAGGCAAGTTGAGCTTTTTCAGAGAGAGGCTTTTACAGGGGTGGTCCTGGAGCTGGGAAGGGCACAGCTGGGGTGTGTCAGGCCGGCTCTGGGGGACTCCAGCTAGCGTGGGTCTGCCAAAGCCTGCTCTTCCCAGCACACAACCCCATCCCCTGCTAAACACCAGTTCCACATTCATCCATCTCGGCTGTCCTAGGATGGTGGTGTTATAATTACTCTCGCCCAGGAGCGATTATTAGTCAAATGCAGCTTTCATAATCGGGCGTGATGGAGGCTGGAAATCGGGAGGATCAAGTGGCTCCTTAACTGGTCGTGGCTGTGGCCATTCTGTCTTGATGCTTTGCTTCCAAACCCTGACATTCCAGAAGTTTCCTGCAGCGGTGGTGGGGCTGTCTAGTGGCTGAAGCAACTCCAGGAACCCAAGGATGACTGGCCAACTTTGGGGGATTCTCCCTGCCCAGGCTTCTCCTTTCCCAGGGAGGCATTTTTTATCATGTGGTACTACCCCTACCCATCACCTGCCTGTGGTGGCTTTTCTGTTGCTGTAATGCTGGGAGCTTGGCTACCATTGTGACCGATACCAGCAGGCTCATCCATGGCGGATAGGTTTCAGCAGAGCTTCCAGATTAAGACAGACTAGAACGACTTGGCGATCTACTTTTGAGAACTAGCCAATGACCACCTCATGGATCCCACGAGACCACTCTCCAATGTAGCGCTGGAAGATAGACACCCCCCCCCAGGTTGGAAGACACTCAAAATACACAATGGCCATAGCAATAGAGTCAAACCTACCAACAGTCCTGCAGAGAGGACAGGACTGGTCAGTGTTTCCGCCTGTTGTGCACAGGATCACCATGCTGTTAAGTACCATTCAGTTGGTTCTGACTCGTAGCAACCCTGTGTACAATAGAACGAGACACTGCCTGGTCCTGGACCATCCTGACAATTGTTCTTATGTTTGAGCCCATTGGTGCAGCCATTGGGCCCATCCACCTTGAGAAGCTTCCTCTTTTTCCACTGAGCTTCTACTTTATCAAACCCGTCCTCCTTTCTAGGGACTGGTTTCTCCTGGTAACAAGTCTCACCGTCCTTGCCCCTAAAGAGCCTTCTGGCTGTACTTCTTCCAAGACAGATTTGTTTGTTCTTCTGGCCGTCCATGGTACTTTCGATATTCTTCACTACACTGTAATTCAAATGCATGGATTCTTCTTCAGTCTTCCTGATTCGATGTCCAATTTCACGTGCATGGAACCATTAAAAATGCCAAAGCTTGTTCCCCTGGAAGAATGAACAAGTGCCTTGTCATGATGGGAAAAGAAACATCATGGGTATAACTTTCCTGGTCTTTTTTCTTAGCAACAGAGTTTTCATTTTTCTTAAAAACTCTTCACAAGTTCTGGAATCTTGGAGTCCTTCAAGAAAATCTACCAGCATTGCCCCTTTTGGGTCCCCCCCCCCCCGAGAAAGAACAGTGGCCATGAACTTCTGAGCTGAATGTACCTAGCCAAGCAGACACCCTTAGAAGCCACTGCTTGGATTGGACTTTTTAAAAAAACTTTTATTTTTTGAAGGCGCATTATGAAACGCCAGTGTATCGCTGAGTGAAGTGTCTGTTTGCACTCACGGATTGCAGAGGCACGTGTACGGAGTTCTGTGGAAATAGCCCCATAGACGTATGAACTGCAACCCACGTTTTTACTTACTCCTGCAATGTATGTATGGGTGTACAGTGTGTCTGTGTGTACATATAGACAGACTTCCTGCATATAGAAGCATCACGTGGAAGACAATATTTGGGTTGGTGTGACAGCGATTTTCCTCATTGGTACTAGTTTTTATAAATGAACAGAATTCTAAAATAAACCAGAATTCCTCCAGAGCCCTAGCAACGTCAGCTAGAAAGAGGTGCAAGGTGGGGAAATGAAACGCAGTGAGTGAAGGGTAAGGAATGGAGAGACTATCCTTTATCTTAGGCTCCCGGGACACAGGCTGATGGTGAGAGTCTGGTCCGAGATTCCAAAGGCCAGTTGCAGAGCAAATCATTGTTAAACTGCCGCCCGCCCGCCTGCCACCCCTCCCCCCACGACTTTCTGAGAGTCCTTCCCCGAAATGCACAGCCACATGTGAATGACATGGGTGCTAGCCTCTTGAGCCTATTTTGCAAATGAGGAAACAGGCTTGGAGAAGCTAAGTCAGTTGCCAAAGGCAACAGCAGGCGAGGGGTGGGGCTAGTCACTGCTAGTTCCTGGGAGCCTCTCGCCGCTCTCCTAACGCCTGCCTGTCTTTCCTCCACGTCTCCAGGCATAGAGTTCGTTGTGCCCAGGACAGGGTTTTATTGCAAGCTGTGTGGGCTGTTCTATACGAGTGAGGAGATGGCGAAGATGAGCCACTGCCGCAGTGCTGTCCACTACAGGAACTTGCAGGTAACAGTCACGGCCCTTGCCCAGGACCTTGAGTGGCTCCCTAGCCTCCGTGCTCAGAACAGATAGCTGGTTCTTTGCTAAGCTTGGCCCTGCTTGCTCTGTTCCTAGCTGCCACCTTCGAGGCCTTTGCCACTTCCCAGGTGCACCTGCCACCCTCCGCTTCAGCGACTTTCTAGCTCCCCCCACTGCACAGAGACCACCCGTTGTTCCCCTTGACCCGACTACACCAGGCTGCGTCTGTCTCTACGTTAGTAGTTAAAGCTTTTTCTGGATTGGTGCTGTCTGCCTCCCCCTCTAGTCTATGAGTAGGGCCCATGTTCACCTGTCCCATGACTGGGGTGGGGCATCAAAAGAGCTTGGAGATAGCTGGCCATCAGCTCAAGGCCGGTCCCCTGGAGACAGAGAACAGACGAGCCTCACCCTCCAACCTCCCTGACCAATTCAGATACCACTGCCCCTCCCACAGCATGCTCTACTTCCACTTGAGTTCCATAATGCATTGCAATGGCCACCCAGAACTCACAGATTGTGCTCAGGATTATGGACTCTATTAGGGAAGTTAGCAGGTTGCCATGAAAGATTAGACATGTTCAAGACAAGTTCTTTCGTCAGGACAGTCTCTTCCCAGCTGTCTACAGGAGGCTTCTCTCTGGTCCTTCGTCTCTCAGTCATGTGTCTTCTTGGCCTTTGCCCTGCTAGGCAGTGTTACAAAGCTCTTCCATGGCTCCTCCATGATAAATGTCCAAAGCCATGCCATGCCACTCCACTAAAAGCCTCAGCCCAAAGACATCCAGCCTCTGTAGGTCAACCCAATCCCCCCAATTAAGTGCCTGGAGGTATCCTACTCCACAAGCTAATAAGCTAGCCTCCTGCCCAAAGGCATTCAGCTGTACTAAGTCTGTGGGCCAGGAAGCCCACCATACTTTCGTGTGTTCCGGCTCTGGTTACTACCACTACAACCACCAGTAGCAGCAGCAGCACTACCACCACTGGTACCAGTACTTCTACCACTACTAGTACCAATACTACTCTGCCACTTCCCTGGTGTCACAATTTTCAGTCCCCGGATCGAGGAAGCTTCAAGTGCAGGGGCCTCAGGGTCTAAATGAAATGCTCCTCTCCTGGCTCCTTGATCTTGCTCAGAGTAAGAACCCCCTTCTGTTTCTGAGATGGCTCACTTTACACACAGCTCAAAAACTCCCTGCTGCCAAGTTCATTCTGACTCAGCCAACCCTCGAGGACAGAGTACACAGAACTGCCCCGGTAGATTTATTCTAAGAGTGGAACCCGCCATGGGAGCAGAAACTTCGATCATGCTCCTGGGTTGCAGCTGGTGATTTTCAACTGTTTACCTTGCAGTTAGCAGTGCAACAAATAATCCACTACCCCACCAGGGTTCCTTACTGATACACAGCAGGATGGCAACATTGGCTTGTTCCCACACTGGAGTTTCAAGTTTTCTCAATCACAGTTAACCCAGCTAACAGGCACTTAACAGCTGAATCGTATCATCCTATCAGCATCCCCCTTTCTCCTGCCCAGACCCACGGGAGAAAGAGGAAATGCATCCAGGCATTTGGTGGGAGTTACTGAGACCAGCTAGAAGAGCCATATTAAATATTAAACGTTTCACTGCTCTGTGCAGGTGTGTGTGCAGGGGTAGGGGCAGTGGGGAATGGGTCCCAAAAGACCTGGCTTCCACGTGCAGATGCCCAAGTTTGTCTCCCTGCACAATGTCCCTGTTTGCTAGAGCAGTGCACACAGCTCCATTTCACGTCACGGGTCACAGGCGGCACATGCAGATACTCCCTCAGTAAACACTCCCCACGGGCATACTCTGCCCCACAAGCTTCTAGGTCCTGGGGTACAAGTGACAGACAGATAGACAGTTATTCCTGTCCTCACAGTTTACACTCTTAACTCAGGAGATACTCAATACATTTAAAAATATATCATACAAAGTGTGTGTATTAAAACGTGACATGTGAAAATACTTTCGACACCATGTTCTGACTAAGGTCATGACACTATTTTTGACACTCCCGTCACACACACAAAATCGTCACAAGCTGTGATCCTCCACTGATTGTAAACATACTTCCATTTTAGAGCTTTCCATGAGGTTTTCTTTTTAAAGTACCTTAGAGTAAGTGAAATGTGATACATTTTATAATACGCGAGGGGGCTTCCAAAAGTTCATGGGGAAAAAGGGAGTTGAAAGATAATTGAATTTTCCCCGAACTTGGATACCTTGTGTATGTCTAGTTAATAGGCATTAGGATGAAAGAGTCATCATTACCTTCTGATGTTGGCCAGGATTTTGTAACTTGGTAGAATGGGAACTGTAACAGAGGCCCACAGGTAAGTAAGTATCTGAAGGAATCCACAGGTTTTGTCATAGGGAATTGGATTTCTTATTGGATCTCAACTCAGGGAGCCCCTGGTGGTGACCAAATATTAAAATAATAAACCAAACCCATTGCCATCAAGTTGATTCTAACTCATAGTGACTCTCTATATAGAGTTCTTGAGACTGTCGATCTTTACAGGACAAGACAGCCTCATCTTTCTCCTGTGGAATGGCTGGTGGGTTTGAACCACCGACCTTGAGGTGAGCAATCCAATGCTTCCTCGGCAGTGCCACCAGGCAACATGCCTTAATTCCAAGAGCTGCAGAGACCATCGGGTCTGAGATTGAAGAGTTCCTGGTCCCAAGGTCCTTAACCTGGGATGTGAACCTGAGTTAACTGGGCAGTTGTTCTAAAATCTCAAATTCAGCAGAAAATGGGCGAGGCTTTGGAATATGAGAGTTCTCCAAACTATTCATGTGTACTCCTAGTTAAGAAACTCAGATGTGGGCCAACTCTCTCACTTTACAGAAAAGGAATGTGATGTGTCCCAGGCCATGCAGACCAGTGAGTGAGTTACTGGGATCCAGAATGGGGCCATCTGATGCTCACACGTTCCTCTGTTGACCCATTAAGCCAGTCTTGCAAACCTCAGCCTGGAAGACATGGCCTGCTTCACCATCTGCAAGGGCTCGTCAATGACGGAGACCAAGCAGAGATCATTTAAGCCGCATGCTTTCCCTGCGGGGAGAAAGTGCTCTGTGACTAAGGCAGCTGTGGGGCCCGGCCTCAGGCCCCAGTCTCTCTTGGGAGAGGGTAGTGGCAACCTGACTTGGCCTGCAGGACAGGTTCAAGTTGGACTCCACAGAGCCACCCGAGGGCAGGTGTCTGCTCTGAAGACAATGTCATCCCCACCCCAGGAGGAGCCCATGGAGCGTCAGGCTGGAAGGGGTCTCAGGGATCATCTGGTTCGAGTTTCCCAAACGTTGGTTCTCATATCTGCTGGTGTCCTTTAAAAATGCCCTTCCTGAGCTGTGTCCTATACCCAGTTGCCCATCGTTCTCTCTAGGACTGGGCTTAGGAGGTCTGCATTTTTAAAACATGCTTTCTAGTTAATTCTGATACTTATCTCACCCAGCATTCTCTCCTGGTTGGTGTTAGCCCCAGAAGACCATGCTGCATCAGATTATCCAGGGATTTTGGGAAGAGTTAGAACTTGCCAGAGCCAGCCTTTCTCCCAGCGCTGGGGCCCTGACAGACCCATCTTCCCCACACAGCGGGCCCAGCAGGCCCAGACACTGGCTAAGTCCCTCCACTGAGCAGCCTCGGTTCGGGTTTCCTGGACACACCTGTTGGGGCTCCGTCTCTCCCGCCACAGGCTACCCAGATAAGGTTTCTGTCAGTGGCCTTGATGGAATGCCTCTGCCCCCACCACCTCACCCACCCCACCCCAAGTTGCTCGTGTGAAAAGTGAAGAAGCTGAACCAGAGCAGCAGGTGCTGGCTCACACTTAGTCCGGCAGCTTGTAAATTTAGCACCCACCAGGAGGCCATGGGGTGGGGTCGGGATTGCTCTGTGGGTTGGGGCAGGAAGGAGCCTCAATTCCCTCCCCCTGCGGGCCGCCCCTGTGTGCCCCACTGCTGGTTATGGCTGAGGAATCCTACCGCAAGCAGTCTCATCAATGGGTGGAGGTAGGAGGGCTTGCTGCCTGCAGGGCTTCGGTTCCTCCTGAAGTACCTGCCTATACCCAGCACACTTATCCAAGTCCCCTGCTCAGCACACGTTCTCCCTCCCCTGATGGCACAGAAGAGACCCTTGGTGGGATGGTGTGGAGTGGTTCAAACCCACTAACTTCCCTGAGGGAGAAAGATGAGGCTGTCACCTCCCGTGAAGATTGACTGTCTCAGAAACCCTAAGGAGCAGTTCTGCTCTGCCCTGTAGCGTCACTATAAGTTGGTACGACTCGATGGCAGTGGGTTTGGTGTTGGTGCTGCCACAGGGAAGCTCTTTGGTGGTTCTCAACCTGTGGGTTGTGACCCCTTTGGGGGTCAAATGACCCTTTCACGGGGATCGCCTGATTCATAGCAATAGCAAAATTACAGTTAAGAAGTAGCAACAAAAATAATTTTATGGTTGGGAGTCACCACAACATGAGGAACCGTATTTAAAGGTGGAGGACCACTGCCTTACCTGGTAACTGAAAGTTAGGGAATTTTAATCCAACCAGCTGCCCCTCTCTGGAATCATAGAAATCTGCCTCTTTACAGCCCAGAAACCCCTCTGGCAGTGTGTATTAGTCTAGGTACTTTGGAGAAACAAATCCACAGCAACTCA